TCAAACAAAAAAAACACAGCAACAAGTGAGAACAAAACTTCTTGCCCAAAAGCTGAAATCCAGTTTTAAAAAATGACAATACATCGAACGTTTGAAGGAACTTACACTTTCAACTGTGGGGTCTACTCGAGCCCTTTTCTTCCTAGGAGGCTGGGGAGTCTCACTGCTACTGCTTCCTTCCCCAATTCCAGGAGCTACACAAAATATAGCCATATTGTCAGCGCATGTATAAAATATAGGTCGGCTTACAAACAAGTCTCCCTTTTAATACTAATTTTCACAAGTATACCCAGGTTTTTCCTCAAAGCTCTGATGAACTTCTTTCACTTAAAGAAAATCTTTCCTTTTTCTAGAAGGCTTTTACTCCTTTAACTTAAGCATTATGAACAGGGTGGGTTTGATTTCAATCAAATCAATTTAAATTATGATTTAATTCACTGGTTAGGAAGCCTTGATTTAATCATTTTTTCCTACCAGAAGTGCATTCTTATTGTTTGATAGCTTTTATTCACTTAACTTCTTGAAACCTTGCATCTTTAGAGAAAGGTAAGGACTTGATTGTTTGTACACGAACTTGCCGAGACAAGAGGGCCGACAGGTAGGTAAAGCAGTAGGGCTGCGTGAAACGGCAGCGTTCCATTTCGAATTTTGTTTTGAGTTGAAACAGCTGGCCTGTTCCATCAAAACATTTCACCATTTGGACCCGGTTTCAACATTTTGCCCATATGCTATAAGGGGGGGGGTGGGGGGAGGAAATCGAAACAGCCTATAACTTTGTCATTTCTGGCTTGATTTTGATTAAACTTGCAGGAAGGGTAGCCCCTTCTGAGGGCCCGATGCCTGCCAAGTTTTAAGGAGACAGGTGCAGGGGGTTCAGGGAAACAGCACTGTAAAAATCTTGAAAGCAAAAACTCATGTCATGTGCATGTGTTAAGCCACAGCGGGGTCAGAACTGCAGGCATGCTAGCCCCCGCTGAGGCCACAAAGCCTGCCAAGTTTCAAAGGAGATAGGTGCAGCAGTTTGGGGGAAACTGTACTTCAAGATGCAGACGATTAAAACTTGTGACATGGGTGACACTGGGTGTTAAAAGGCACAGCTGGGTGAAAACTGCAGGCCTGCTAGCCCCTGCTGAGGCGACAGCTGGCAGGCTTCATGAAGGAGATGGATGCAGGGGAGTCCTGGGACCCTGCACCTCTAGCTGCTGACAGGCAAAGCTCAAGGCATGGGTGCTTGTGCAACTGACTGTCTCGGTCTTGGGGCAGAGGGGGGTGAAAACAGCAGGCCTGCTAGCCTCTGCTGCAGCCACAATTTTGGCTACAAAGGACCAACTTGCAGGATTGTTATAAAATTCCAGTTTATTAGCTGGATGCAAAAGTCAGATCATAAACCTTGGGGCTGATGCACACACACACGCTAGCTAGCTATGAACACTAAGCATTGGTGTCAAGATATAGCTATCCCCAAGTGCTGGAGTCCACCATTGATGGCCAGTCGAGGCTTCTTTCACTGCGATGTTGCTTTGCAAGGGGGTCGCCAGCTGGTCCTTCTGTCTGAACCGGCAGTGTGCTGGTCAGGTCAAAGAGGGTGCTATTGGGGGTCATTCTTCACTGCCTTTTATCCCTCTCGTAGACTGTGTTGACTCCCCAATTCTTGGGCTGACCCAACCCAGAGGTCATTGACCTCATGGGACATCCCCCTTGGTGGCTGCTGGATGGCAGCTGTCAGCCCCGGGGGTCACGTCCACAAGTATGTGCAGTTTCAGGAGTCTGTTGATGAATTTTGATTAATTCACTGCTGTGATGAATAGGGCTCTGGGAGCGGTTGATTGAGGGGGTATTCAGTCTTAAGAGTTGATTTCCAGCATTCGTTAGTTCAAACGGGGGCTTCTGTACCTTTAACCGTGAAGTTTGAAGGCTCTGTAATGTTTCTTTCCTCTCCTTAGTCTGTGGTTTCCTGTGTGTTAATCCTTGCTTATTAACTCATTATCGTAACTAGCTACTGAGTTATGCAATGAATCCATGATTCACTCGGGGACGACTGTAACACAGTAGCTAGCTACAGTAACGAGTTAATGAGCAAGGTTTAAAACCACAGACTAAGAAGGGAAAGAATCAATATAAAGCCTTCAAACGTCACAGTTAAAAGATACAGAAGCCCCAGTTTGAACTAATGAAACCGACTCTTGGGACTGAATTCCCCCCCACCCCAATCAACCGCTCCCAGAACCCTATTCATCACGGCAGTGAATTAATCACAGTTCATCAACAGACTCCCGAAACTACACGTACTTGCGGACATGACCCCCGGGGCTGACAGCCATCCAGCAGCCACCAAGGGGGACATCCCACGAGGTCAATGACCCCTGTATTGGGTAAGCCCAAGAACTGGGGAGTCAAAGTCTGCCAGAGAGGGATGAAAGGCAGCGAAGAATGACCCCCAATGGCACCCTCTTTGACCTGACCAGCACCCTGCCAGAAGGACCAGCTGGCGACTCCCTTCTGAAGCAACATCAGACTGAAAGAAGCCTCAACTGGCCATCGATAGTGGACTCCAGCACTTGGGGATAGCTATATCTTGACACCAATGCTTAGCGTTCATAACTAGCTACTGTGAGTTTGTGCGAGTGGTGTCAGCCTCAAGGTTTATGGTCTGACTTCTACATCCATCTAATAAACTAGAATTATGGTGATCCTGCAAGTTGGTCCTTTGTAGCCAAAATTGTGGCCACAGCAGGGGCTAGCAGGCCTGTTGTTTTCACCCTGCTCTGCCCCAAGACAGAAACAGTCAGTTGCACAAGCACCCAAGTCACGAGTTTTGCCTATCAGCAGCTAGGGGTGCAGGGCCCCAGAACACCCCTGCACCCATTTCCTTGACAGGTGGCAAGCTTCGCGACCTCAGAGGCTAGCACGCCTGCAGCTTTCACCCCCCGTGCCGTAAAACACACACACACACACACAGTCACCGATGGCACAAGTTTTGCTTGTCCACAGCTTGAGGTTCAGTTTCCCCCAAACTGCTGCACTTATCTCCTTGAAACTTTGTGACCCCAGCAGGGGCTAGCATGCCTGCAATTTTGACCCCACTGTGGCTTAACACATACATGCAACATGAGTTTTGCTTTCATGACTTTGGGGTGCTGTTTCCCCAAAACCTCTGCACCTATTTCCTTTAAACATGGCAGGCTTCACACCCTCAGAAGGGGCTACCATTCCTGCAGGTTTCATCAAAGTCAGGCCAGAAATGACAAAATAATAGGCTATAATGAGGGAAGTTAAAATAGCCTATGGGTAAAATGTCAAAACAGGATCAAAACGTTTCAACTTGCCTTGTTTTGTTTCAAGGCTGTTTCAATTTTGCCGTTTCAACCACGAAACAAGTAAAAAAAAAACTGGCAGCAAAATTCTGCACAGCACTAGTAACCAAGTCTGTTCTCTCATCCCCAAATACTGCTGTTAATGAGGATGTGATCTCTGGAGACACGCATGCAGTTTGAGAGCTGAAACTAAGCATCACAGAGATGCTTACTGGGATCTTCTAGACTAAGCACTGAGTCCCATTGGGCAGAGTGGTTTTATTTAATCTTTATCAATCTATAGAAGCCTTTGGGAACCCTGTAAGACTGGGCCCCTAATGTAGCCCATGGCCTGCTGTGACCCATTTATAGAACTTTTCTAAAAAGGTTACATAAATATATTGTCTCAAATAGCATATAATTAGAAGTTATAATCCCTAATCCATGATGATATCTTCGAGCTTTAACATAGTTTAAACTAAAGCTATCTTTATAAGGTTAAGCAGAAAACAATTCAAAACAAAAAATATTTAAAAAATGATTAAATTTAAAAAAATCTGATTCAATTTTTTTTTAATTTGATTTGTATTTTTATTTCTAAAAAAATAGTCAATTTTTCTCCACCCTGATTATGAACAACATAGGGAAGTTTTAGCTTCCAGTTTTAGATGTAGATATACATGTTGAAACTGAGTGCCTGCTACACGTACTACCTTAAAATGCAGGCAAAGAAACACTACAGGTTGCAGTATAGCATGTTCCCCTGGAGATATGCTTGGGCAGCCTTACTATATTCCACCTCCCAGGTGCTCCACTGGGGATGAAATATTCAACATCCATCAGTTTTACTTAATCACAGAAAGAAAAAAACTAATTTCAGAACGGTTTGTGCAGGCACTGCCTTCATTTAAAAATTTACAGAGGGCCTGACCCTGGCATACCAAGACACCCCCATGCTAGGAAGAGTCCAAGATAGAGAGCTGGTCTTCCATAAGCTTAGCTGGGATCCTCAACACCCAATTATCATATGCCTGTGCAAGTGAGAGCTATGGCAGCTGAGGATCTTGCATCATATACTAAACACTACATCTATGAATAAAAAACACACACTTACTTTTCTGTTTGTTCTTTTTTGTTTTCCTGCAAAAAGAAGATGCGTCATTGCAAGTATAAAAATAAAAAGGTGCTTTTAATAATAAATCTGAGTTGGTATGGGGTGGGGAGAGGAGGACGGAAAGCTAGGCACAAAGATCTCAAGTATAAAATCATCAAGTTGCCATGCAAAACAGTGAATAAGAGCCCAGCAGCCTACCAGAATACATACAGGAGAGAGGTAAAAATAAAGAAACCGAGAAGGGCACTGCAGCACTATTCTCCATCCTCTACGATAAGAGACAGGGGGATACCCTAATAAAGTTAAAGGCAGAACATTTTAAAACAGATCCATGAAAAAATATTGTTGGCGCATATGCAACAATTAATACTACAGGCTTTTCCCCCTATTAAAATGGAACATTTTACAAGACTTTCAGTTTGAACAGTGTTTGACAGGGAGGAAGTTCTATAACTTTATTCAATGCATACTTAAAGTGATGGCATTCGGTAACTTGGAGACCAAGAATTTATTCAGGTTCCAAGGGAGATGCTGCCATAAATGTCAAGATATCCGAAAAACTTTGCAGGGATAACGCTTCGAAAGATATTTAAGGATCTGACATGGGCTCAATTTGCAGTTTGTCAATTTTAGCATTTCAGGCACTGCCTAGAGAAAAATGCAATAGAATACAAATAAAGTCAACTGATACCAAGATTTAGTGGATTAGCTAAATTTTGATCTGGACTTTCAAGTGAGGCTCGTTTATTGTGCAGTGCTGCCACTGTAGGTGCAGGAAATTGCAGAGTCAGGATGAGAAAGAGCCATGAAGCTTCCATGGCCCGTCATCCAGGTATGCATCATGATGGCAGAGGGCAAGTCAATCACCTGTCATGACTGTTGCAATACTATTCAGCAGAGCTATGTGAAGCTTCAGGTGGTGACTGGATTCGGAGGAGATTTGGCCCGATTCAGTGGCCGAATCTCCAAATCCAAATCGAATCAGGGGACCAATTAAAAGGTCTGAATCAATTCAAAGCTCTCCAAATCTTCAGAAAAACATTCAGAGTTTTGATGATTTGGGCAGTCCCTGGTGGCTGCAGCAGGGAGCTGCAGGCGACTCCAAGCATGTAAGTACTAGGGGCAGGGGAGGAGGGGTTAGGGGAGGGGACCATGTTGGGGGCACTTCTGCCCACCCAGGTGCCCTGCTGCCCCAGATCCCAGCCCTTTAAAGAAGAGCCACGGTGCTCACTGGGTGCTATCAGGCAGAGGGGAAATCCCCACTGCATGGGAGGGCTCTGCATGAGCCCCCCCCCCCCCAACCCCCCCCCCCGGGGCCCCGCCCGGGGCCACCCTTGGCCCTTTAAAGGGAGGGAGGGGAAATGGAGAAGAGCCCCGGGACTCACTGCTCCTGCAGTGGCCTCGGGGTGGGGGGGGGCTCATGCAGAGCCCCCTCCTCCCCCACCAGGTGGCATGGGGGGGCAGCAAGGATTGCCCCCCCACTGGCAGGAATGGTGAGTGCAGGGCTTTTCTCAGTTTTGTTTTTTTTCTGAAAGGGCCAGAGCTGCCCTGAGCAGGGCATCTGTTGGGGGGGGGGGGGGGGGGTCAGGGAGCTCATGCAGAGCCCCCCATGCAGTGTGGGGCAGTTGGGGGCAATGGGAATCCCACCCCCACACACACACCCAGCAGCACCTGGTGAGCCAGGGCTTTTTTCCCCCCAAAGAGCCAAGAGCTGGGGTGGGTGAGGCAGCCATTGCCAGGCTGGGGGAGGACAGACCTAGGCGATTCGGCCAATTCAGCAGCAGCCAAATCTCCGAATCAGATTCAGGAGAGCGATTCGAATCACCAAATCGAATCACTGTCCCCCGAATCAGCCGAATCCGAAGCAAATGCTAGCTGCTTCGCACAGGCCTGCTATTCAGCACTTCTACTCCAAATACCTTCCCTTATTTCTAGAGAATTCATCTCTGAATACAGCATTCCTAGCAACAGTCAGGTTGCTATTCTAAATGCAAAACTGAATCTTTAAAGAGTTTCCATGAATATCTAAGGAATATATTAAGATGCTCACTCTATGTGGCAGCAGTCTTTCCTGTCCAAGTGCAGGGGAGTTGGACCCAATAACTGTAAGGTCCCTTCCAGCCCCTAACATTTATGAAACTATGAAATGTGGGCATTCCTTGCAATATTTACAAGTGTGGAAGATGCCTAAAAGTTATGTCTAAAAGTAGTTAGATGTATATAAACTGTTAATTTTCTTAGCTATCATGTCCTGGGCTATATTCATTTGCTAGCCCTAGTCATTAGCTCTAGCTGTCCGGACTTACTCTTAAGTAAGACTTGCTCACAGGTCTGTCAAATTCTTATTTCTAAGAAGCCCAGATATATACAGAAGTAACACCACGATTTTGCCCAGACTGCCATGGTATTTACAGCCTTGACAGACAAAGGATGTCACAAAAAGGTTCAAGTCATGACCAACAAGTGCATTTTTACAAGTTGGCCTGTGCTGAGGTTGGTTTTCCAAGCAACACACGAATACTGCTCTGGAAATCCAGTACAGTATCAGAGCAGGTTTTGCTCTTGGCTGTCAACAAGCCAGTGAAAACCAAAGGAGCCTTTACCTGCTAAGAAGCCTCCACACATGCTGTTTAGGGCCCAGTCCAATAGGCACTGAAGTCACTAGAAAGACACACGTTTACTTCAATGCTATTGAATCAAACCATTTATGAACCTGCAACTGCGCTGCGTTTGCAGTCAGCTTCTCGACTCCTTTTTGTGAGGAGGGGACAGCTAGGTTACAACAGGTACACAGTGTCATCACAACATCTTGGGAAGAATGACAGACTCCTTTTCCCTGGGCATTGAGCTTAAAATGCACTCCTTATGTTTTACAGGCATGTGTAGGGAGGGGAGAGGCAGCAGACCGCTACCCCATCCATTCAAGTGCCAGCGCAGCTTTGATGGGACAGCTGCCCATTCCTGGTCCAGGTAGTTATCAGGGCTTGTGGGTTGGGAAAAAGAAAAACAGTTTTGAAAACCATAGCATAAAATTGAGTAGAAAGATTCTGAATGCTATTCAGCACTGTAACCAGGATTCCTAGACTTAAGCAGAAAACCCATATATACATATACCATTAGGTAAAAGGAAAGCCCTAGGACCTGTATAATACAAGTAATGATAATTATGAAATAAGTATTCAAGAGCTACTGCCAAAGTTACCATTCCAAGACTATTCGTGCATTTTGTATGTCAGTTGACCAATTACTTGTGTTCTCCCATCTCAGATCCTTGGATTTTAAAAAGCCATGCCTGCACAGTAGGTGCAAGGGTCATACTTGGACTAGATTGTCAAAAACACCCAACCCCCCTTCCCCAAAAAACAGTGTAGCAGAAGGCATGCAATATCAGAGATACTATAATACTTGTAAGATGGATTTTAAAAAAATCTAGCTATTCAGTTTGCAATAGCTAATCTGAAACAGTAATATTTGATAGCATAAGGCAGCTAGCTGTGCAAACCAGAATTTTATTGTTTTTCACAGCTATTGAAGCAAAATCCCAGTAATAGATTTATGATGAACACAAGCATCTCAACATTTGTGTGACCACAGAGGCATAAGAACAGGCTTATTCCCATTGATGCAGCTATGCCATGAACAGCAATCTCAGGTTTAATTTCTAGTTTGACATTTACTCGGCACCACTATTCCCAAAATACCGTCAGGCTGCCTATACAGAACACGCTCCTTTATCCAGAGGTGCAAATGCCTTCAACCCAAAGTGTGGCAGCTGTTTAACAGCCCTCCTTTAGTGCTAATGAAACCAAAAGCAGCTTTAAAAGGCTCTTGCAACTGTTCTGGAAGTCATCACGTTCTAGTTCGTCTCGTCAAAGCTTTTTGAAAAACAGCGCTGGTTTTCAGCTAAAATTGAAGCTATTTTTTTTTTTTTTTTTTTAGGCTTATCTTTAACTACAAAAAACCCACTATTTCTATCTAGCAATGAGCAAACAGTTTGAAGAGTCCCCATGTTCCAGAGCTCTCACATCCCAGTAACAAAGCGTTTACCACGTTTTCTTTCCAAAACAATCTGTCCACACAAGACCTGGCTCAATTCAAATCTCACACTAGGTTTTGGTCCTATTATGCCAGTTGGCAACTTGGTGACCACTGCTCGCTGACTGGCTCATGAGCATTAAATTTTCATTTGGACCAACTGCTAATGCAAATTTGGAGCTCAGTCGCCAAAACTACCTTCCTCCATTCCAGCAGCTCACATGAGGAACAGACTCAAGTGAGGAACGGCCCAGCTCTTTTTGAAGCAAAGTTACAGGTTAACCAAATACCGAGTGCTTTGAAATCCAGATAAACTCCTTGTTGTAGGACTGAGCAGTAACTGGATACTGACTGCACCTTGCAGAACACTGCACTCTATTCTTAACACAGCTTAACTCACTCTGCCAGAGGCAGACACCCAAAACACGCATGCTTTTAGTAATGGGTAGGCTCTCCATGCCAGGAAAAGTGCAGCCACAGTCCAGGAAAGCGAAGCAAAGACTGGAACACAGACTTCTCTTGAGGATGGGTACTTCATTAGATAAACCTCCATGCTCCTCTCCCTCATACATGTTTCTGCCTAAAACGGCAGCCCCTAGGGAGATCTTGCAGCCAATTCAGAACAGCCCTGTCTAGAAGTTGTTCTTAATTAAATGAGGCTTAAAATTGGTCCCAGACTGCCCCTACCCAAGATCAACCGAACACACTGGATGTCAAAATCAGCTTTAGTCTCCAACTCCACTGTACGGACAAAGGATAGCCCTCTTGCACTTCAGGATTTAGCCTCAGGCTTCCCTTCTCATGAACACTGAATCACCAGCAAAGCACTGACAAGGGAAAATCCAGCAAAGTTAAGCAAGAACAGGAAAGCAATAAAAAACCATGACATATCCAAGTAGAGCCTTCCACACCAGTATCTAGGTAATGCCAGCTACTTATATATGGGCAGCATTTGTACTGCATGTAACTAAAGCCATCTAACTTTGGGGCAAGTTTCTCGGTTTTAAGCAGCTTGACACTTGGAAGTTTCTACACAAGAAAGGAGCAAGGAAAAAGAAAAAAAGAAGAAGAGAGAAATTACTTTTTCTCCTTTCTTTTTCTCTTTCATTTCCACCCCCCCCCCCCCCCCCCCATCATGCGCCAGGAGGAGGGGAAGTTGAAACAAATTCCAATCCCCACTCCGACTAAAGCAGAGGCTATTATCCCATAACATACCTGCCCAGATACCTTGCAAAAACGTCATTTAAAAAAAAAAAAAAAAAAGAATCCATGCAACTTGCATTTCCCATCTTTTTCCAAAGACTGGCTCCTGGGCCTGTGTTTTGACCCCACAAAGGTTCGAATGCCTTCCTTAACAGATTCTAGCACACTGGCTGTCTTTGACTCCCAACCTGCCGAGTCATTAACTGGAAGCTTTCTATAGGATAGTTATGCCAGGCTTCTCCGAAGGACAGGACTGCGCCCAATAACCCTGGGTGCAGCAGCCAGAAGTCTGCAACTGTGTACAACCAGGGAAACTAATGCCCAAAAAGGAAAAAAAAATCCAGCCTACTGTCATTTAACAGAGTTTTTACCACCAATAGAACAACCAGCATCATGAAAACAAACATGTAGTATCATTACTACCTGCAAGGTGTAGGTCATTCTATTGGGTTAGTTATTTCTTATGAACGTCCTCACCACATTATTTTAAATACACAATCTACATGCAGTTGACTTAGCCAGTGTTTTGGAAGTTTCCCCAATCCGTATATAACACTCAACACCATCTATGACAAAAAGCCTAGATCTTAGCCCCACTTGGGTCTGGAAGAGTTGTGTCATTAAGAGTCCTGAGGGTAGGACTTCGCCTATGACAACCAAGACAAACTTCCAAAACCACCTGCAGTTCCAAAATAGTCCAAAAGGAGTCAATTGTTTGAATTTAAGAGAATGCCTTGAATTCTCACTAAAGGAGGCACATCATGGAAGTGTACGTACGTGTTTAAATCTACAGTGTACACATTTTGAAGCCCATGATGATTTTGCTAGCCCATACTCGCTTCTAAAAATAATTAAACACACGTTACAGTACTTTAGAGAGATGTCTAAGTAAGAGTTATTTTGAGAACTGTTACCTTTATTACTATCACCATTTACATTATTATAACTTAAGACTTTAAGAGTCTAAGAGACATGTACAAAAGCAAGGAAATTTAGATTTCAGGATGAAACTCCTGGTTTGACAATCCATCCTTAACTCACCGCGTCGATATTGTAGGGGTCTCCAAACAGCAAACAGTGTGCGCTCCATCTCGTCTGAAAAATCTAGGCACAATGGGGGTTGAGTTAAGGAAAGAATGTCAGACCTGATATTTAGCCTTAAAGAGAATCTATTTAAGCTTCAAAAATTTACCTTTTAGCAAAAGTTAGGTCTCATTCAACATCCACAGAGGACAAGATAACTTGACACTCATTTCCCTTCTGTTGTTTAGGTGACAGAAGAGCCACTTTTTATTATTACTATTTTTACTACTTGTGCCATCCTCAGATCATGCTACAGAAGGTAAATTCTGAGGCCTAAACAGGTTGACAGCGTCACCCCTTTTAAAAAAATAAAATGGTTACAGAATTACTCCCCCTCCACACCAAACACGCTTTACATATCCGTAATAACCCTTTGTTGAAGTGTGTTGTAATTTCTTAAACCCGAGGCCTTATTTTGATGATGCAATTTCACGTTGTATTTGCAGGCATCAGAACCCAGCTTCACTGTCTGGCTGAAGGCAGGATCTGAAGACCTTGGTTCTACCAGTACTGCATCAGGCCTCCAGTCTCAGGTGTCACCCTGAAGTATATCACAGATAAGCGACTCTTCTCCCTCACCCTCCAGTGGATAAGGCAGGGGAACAACAAGTTTCCACTGGGGTAGGAAGCGTCAGTGTGTATAAAATGCTAACAGAGAAGAATGCATCACACACGTTGGCATTAGTGGGAGACTGGGAGCAAGATCAAAGAAAAAGGCACAGGGCATTATTTTATGTAGAAATACTTTTAGTACCATGAAGGGCAATAACACAAAAAGCCAATTCGCTACTCTAATGATAGTGTCTTCCCCAACACTTCCACTGGCTCCTGAAGATGTGAAGATCCATCCGAGGAACCATCCACAACCCCAAAACAAGAGCAGCTTTTGAGAAGCAGAATTCATTCATGGTAACAACCCATCTACCATGATGTGACTCATGCATGCACCCCTGGGTCCAATTCCAGCGGGGACAGCAGAAGCAAAGGCACCCCACCCCACCCCTCAGATGTTGCTTTCAGCCAGAAAGCAAAGCCAGCAACTGAAAATATGGTATCAAATAATAAAATTCCTCAAGGCCTTTTTACCTGCTTATGTACTAATCTCATCCTGGCATGGGAGCCTGCAACCAAGGGATTTAGGCTAGCCCAGTTTGGATCTCATTGCTTCCATAAGCACAAATGAAACCTTCAGCATCGACTCCTGTTCACCTTTTTTACACAAGTCATCCCAGCAGATGACTGGCTTATGCAAGTATGACTAGATGTATTTGCTGCTCCAAAACTCACTCTTTGGGGGTGTTCACAATGCAAAAAATTTATTTTAAGAAAAATTAAACTAAAAAAAAAAAATGGCAATTTACTAATTAAAATCATCATCCATTACCCTGTTACAGTCAGAGCTACCAGGAACCCAGTCCTCTCCGTTTTTAGGGCAGGCAGAGTCAGGGGCACCAGGCACTCAAGCACTAGCTCTAGTGACAGCTGTGATTGGTTTTAAACTTGCACTAAAAACTTAATAGCCTTCTTCTCAAATCAGAAAAAAGGAAGATCAGGTGGCTGATCAAGAGTCTGTCTGAGCCAGGAGAGACTTTGAGCTAGCATGCTTAAGGCATGCCACGTCCTGGAGCCAATGACATGCAAAGAAGCCACATGGCTAATATGTCCAGCCACTTTTGAGTCCCTAACCTGAAGATCCAGATACCCTTCTATAGCTTAGTTAGCTGGAAACAGCTTTGGACCCAAGTTTGGAGCTGCACAGTAAGACCTATCACTGTATCACTCAGATCACGGACATACTTATCAAAAATACCCAAGAATGATACAAAGCCTAAAATAGAGAGATTTGAGACTTCCACCAACACTCTTCTTAGAAAATGGTGTCAATAACACCTTCTTCCTAGTGAAGAACAAAAATAAGTCAAGCTAACAGCTGGAAGTTTCCAAAAGATCACATTAGCAATGAACAAATCCAAAAGAAAAAAAAAATATTGAGTAAAGCCAGGACTCTCTCTCCTCCACACTCCCAAATAAAATGATCCATTGAATCGTGTGGAGCCATGAAATTTTGACATTTCACTTTAACACTAAATAAATGGAGGAAGGAATCCTCAAATATAAGGCTACATAAGCCTCAATGAAGCACAAAGAATGGAGCTGAGAAATTCTGCTGAGTATTTTGAGATTACGTGTCACCTACGATGACTATCCAAGCTCGCCTCTAATCTATTCAGCTCCTGATCTTAAAATACAAAGCCATTTTATTTAAAGCCTACACATGGGCTTAGCATTGCGTTGGCTGGAAGAAATGGACTAATTAGAACAAAATGCAGCCTTTGGTAAGCAAGCTAGCATTTTATGAACAGCAAATGAAAAAGTTCCATTTGCATTCTAAACCCTATTTTAACAAATACATAGCCAAGGCAAAGTATTCTTTTGAGCTGAACTCTTGTTCCCAGAAATACTGTTCATAACCTGAGCTATTCTTACCATTCTGTAGAAGATTCAGTTTTACTAAGATCTAACATGCAAAAAATGATGTGTTATCATACAACTTCAATTCAATCATTTAAGAGGAATGATATGTAAACGTTGAAGCAACATTTACAGAAGGTAAAGTGAATTCAGCCATTTACAACAGGCAACATGAATTCTGCCTCAGCTAACAGAGCGCTATGTAGAAGTGCTTTCTTGAATAGAAAAGTATCTTGCCAAAACAGATACCCCATAACATAACTAGTATTTTGAGAGTTTTTTAGCCCATCTATTGCACCCAAAATATAGGCCTTGTGGGAAAAAAAGTGCTACATGATTTTTGAGTGCAACTGGCCAACAGATTTTTCTTTTTTTTTTTTTAAACAAAAGAAAAGCTTCTTACACTTCAACATTTTTTTGTTGCAGACCAGATGTCTTCTTGCCTGGAGCAGCACCTCTCATCTTCCCCTCTGCATACTGTTCCCTTTAAAAACAAATTTGGCAATAAAGTGTTACTGCAAGAGAGGCCAATACCTTTCCAGAAAGGACACAGGCTAAAAAACTTCTAGAAGCAGGGGTAGGCAACCCCTGGCACAGGTGCCAGGACATGGCACATGAAGGCACATGCACCTCAGGGCAGACAGCAGGAGAGGGGGTGGGACTGTGCTGCCACAAGGATCAGGCCCCTTGTGACTCCCCCACCATCTGCCGCTGGCATGCCAACATCTGCGAAGTCAAGGTTGCAGGTGTTTTTGGCACTGTGCCCAAAAACATACCCAGCCCCTGATTTAGAAGGCTTTTCATGAATGGCAATAGAGTGCGCATCCAGATGAGTGGGAACATTTGATTCCCTGGGGACAAATGGCAGTGACACCTTGTGCCACTGCTACTTCTCCCCAGGGAATGCCCATGCATGTGCACACGCTCTAGCACAGAGTAGGTTACTTCAGGAGGGGTATGAGAGGCTGGGGCCAGCAACTGTGCTGGTCCCAGAAGCCTTACCTGGGGTCTTGGGGGAGCCGCAGGCATGGCAGGAAGCCTGGCCAGCAGCTGAATTGTGGCTCCGGCTGGCCAGACTCCCGATTTGGGCGGCATCTGGTGATGCCGTGTGTACCCCCCACCCTTCTTTTTTTTCCTGTTTGTTTCTTCGAGAAGGGGGCTGGAGGGGAAAACAAGACACACAAACAACCCTTCACTGCAAAGTGTCAGTGCAGGGAACGCCTGCCTGTGCGGTGCACGGAGCCACAAGGCAGATCTGCGGCACCACGTACCACACATCCATGATCATCTGGATGTACCCAAGGGAACTTGCCTGAGTGAAGGCAAGCAGAAACCAAATCACAATGACAGGATGTGAATGTTTTTGTACTATCAACCATTTTTACTAGAAATAAATATGCATCAGAACTATTTCAGAAACAGCCGCTCTAAAACAAAATGGAATAATATAACTCTAGGTTTTCTAAGTTTTTGCAACAACAAGTAATAAAAAGAGCATTCAACAAGTTCAATGCAATTATAGCTGCCTGATAAGTGTGCTCATCTCATGAGGATCTCATAGTTTTCCAAAATATTTTTTAGATGACCATCATGCAAAATTGACTTGATGGCATGGATGCATAACATGGATCCAACTGGTATTTTCAGAGCTTACTAGCTATTGCTCAATCTATTTTATTCTTTTCCTTGAAGCTTGAAATGAACACCATCATTTTTAAGTTAAAAAAATTATATCTAGCAACCATGGACAAGCTCTTCTGACTGCTAAGTTATAAACATTTAGATATGGTCATATTACCAGCATCTAAAGAAGACTAGCAAAAACAACACAATGACTAGCCTATCTCTGAAAGTCTTCCAAACACTAAACATTCCTGGACAAATGAGTTGAGGTTTGGTCCTTATGTAATTTGCATGGGTTTTCTCCAACAAAAGATACCTACTGATTGGCCTTTTGAAGTTCTTTCTGTTTCTGCAGATTGGTATCCACGTATTTGAGAACTCTGCTTTCCGGAACCCATTCATCCCAGCTGGAAAAAAAAAACAAAAAAAAAAACAAACCAAAAACGATCAAACCATCGTTACAAAACAGTACACACAGAGATTATGTTCCCAATAATCAATTAACAGCTTCACAGAATTTGAGACTGAACTCTGCTTTTATAACAAGTCACGAGCTGGCCCAACTTAAAACATGTGTTATCAGGTAAAATATACTCCCACCGACTGAAGCTCTAAATTTCTCCAGGGGGAAAATGAAATTCAGTTTTTTCCCTAAGCAAATGGTTTCCCCAGTTTTGCTAACTTATGCAGCAAGATCCTGGTGTTTCACGGCAAGCTGTCAAGATTAGGATGCCAGTGTGGTAAAAACAAGTTCTCTATGAAAGCACTGAAGTACAAGTGTTTCAAGAGTCTCAAGAAAAGGGTTCTCTTTAGAAAAAAAAAAAAACAAAAAACCCAAAAACCTTGCTTTCAACTGTATATACACTAAAGGCTGTATCAGTTAGGACAGGGCCTTAGTGAAGGGTCTCAGCCACTATCTTTGCTCTCAACATTTTCATTGTTTGTTAACAAAAGCTTTCTAAACAAGCACACTATAACTGCATGCAATTGTACTATACAACATAATGAGAAAGTTACTTTTGTTTCCTCACTAGCAAGGCTTGCAAAAACATTAAAAGCCAAGCAATTTAAAACTCATTTAATGTATTATTGAGGGCCATAACTTAATTATAAAGTCATAAAATTAAAAAGCCATACAGTCCCAGGTGTAGATGCTGCAGCAATGCCACCTTTAATGTAGTTAATTGGAAGCTTGAAGGCAAGAAAATAATCAGAGGCAGACAGTTAGTGCAAACGTGGGGAAAAAAAGAAAAGCAAAAAAAAAAAGAGTCATTTGACATAGCCAATGGCACACTCCTTTACAAATTAAGAAGAAAGGAGTGCATTCTCATCAATACCCAGAAGTTAAGATGAATTTAGGAGATGGAACCAAAGTTCCAAATGCATTACGACACCCCGTTAGCTGCTCACTGCTTTAAGGGAGCATTGCTTTCAGAATATCAGACACCAATACAAAGTTTAGTTCAGACCTCACTGAATCTTGACACCACACACACACACAAGCCTTTCATAGGCCCAAGAGCATTCTTCAGGAGATGACACGGTAGTGTTTAGGTGAACCAAAACAGCTCTTTGAAATTACGCTCCGTCTCTCTCTCCCTGAAGTAGACTCCGAGTACGAAAAGGTGACAGTTCTATCAGCACTTTGGCAGACACTGTTCTTTGGGTAAATCCAACATCCCTTATTAGACCAACTCAAATAGTTGGAAAAATTCTTCTTTGCAAGCTTTCGGGTACAGTTACCCTTCGTCAGGCAGAGGAAGCGTCAGAACTTTGAGATTCAGAACCAAGTAATTATTGCCCCTACGCTCATTTTTAGCGGAACGTATCACATCAGAAAACGTGAGAAGAGTGGGGCGTGGAGGAATGCAACACAGCAATGCTGTCCAAAGAACAGGTAGTGGCTTGCATATAACAACATGGACATTAAACTGGGATTTGATTTGAAAGATTTCAAAGCTGATCAGTCTTTGTAATCAAATGGATGCTCCTCTGTTCAGATTTAGGAAACTGGGAAAGAAGAACATAAAATTATACCCACACCTGCAATCCCAGAAGCAAACATTTTTGGATTCTTTAAAGTCTCCCATGATAAGTTCTCACTCTTTAGAATTTGCTCCTCTCCTCAATTCCCATTATTTTTGCAAGCAAAAAACCAATATAACCAACCTCCCGTTAGCCTCAACTACAGCCCCAATGGCACTGCTGCTAAAACTCATGGGAGGTAGGAAGTGAGGTAGAGACTGAAAAACCTATTAAAAACTTGAGATCCCTTAGCTCTAAGAGCAGTCTTTTCTGATTAAGGCTACTCCTACTACTCAATACCCCTTAGCAGCAAAGCTTGGGTACAACAGACAGTCTTGTTTTTTTGTTGTTTTTTTAGTCAAAGCAGCACTCCACCTGACAAGCAAGCATTGCCCAACCTCAGAATTATGAAAATTGTACCTAGACATGGTTAACTAGTGCATTGGACAGCTGCTAACAAGCAGCCTTGTTAGTCTAGTGAGACTAAGCCAGTTTGTCTACACAATCAAAGCTCAAGAGGAAATTTCTCTTTTGAACAAGATGATTATTTAAGCAATGTTTGCTTTGTGTCATTTCATACTTAAATTTAAAGATTAAACTTGTTTAAGCTAATGTAGATCAGCAAAGACTGATCTCCAAGCTAAGAGCCTTCAGGTAACATGCTTGATAGTACCAGTCCCACTCCAGCTGGAGTGGGAACTTAAACTACAAAGGAAAATAAAGTCTTGTTTTCAGAAATATAATACTTACTTTTTATTCCAACCACTGTAATGTATGAAGTATTTCACTTGTTTGTCCTTTATGGCAACCTTTACACACTAGAAAGACAAGAAAGCTCTGTCAAAAAGTCCTAAAATGACTAGCTAAAACACAAGGATCCTCATGTAAGTCACTGAAATATTGGCCTAAGATAGAGAAAGGTTTCCAATAAAAGTATTATTTGCTTTGTATTTCAGTTAAATATTTAAGGCATTGGGAGGACTATGCCTGCAGAAAAACTGCTACTGAGAAGGCTTAATATCTTCATTCAGAAGGAAGGGCAAAGACCTGAGCCAAAACAGAAGATAGAGAGCTGATTTTAAACTGCTGGGTAGCTAACGAGCTCAGGTCTTTATGGAGGCTAGTCACTCTAGGACAGACTGCTTGCAGGACATCTGTGATTGTGTCCTGCTCTAAAAATCATCTTTTAAACCTCTACTCCCATCCGCCTCTGTCCTCCTCCTCAACATGCATTATTTTGTCCTAGGACTTAAGCATCTGAAGTAAAAAGAAGGTCTTGAATTCCAAAAAGTAACTCATTTTGCTCTCCACCCAGATTATCAAACTATGTTAGAGATAGAAAACTTCTCTCAGAAGACCTTACTAGAAAGAAAATATTAACTGTATGGAAGGGGCTTCAGTAAGTTAAAAGCAAAGAAAAATATCACATTTAACAACTAATGGATGGAAGTAATATTGCAATAATGTTCATGATTAAACAGGAAGCCAAAACACACAGGAAAACCAATTTATGACTTTAATATATTGTAACACCCACCTCTCCTCAAGATGTGTGGGACATATTTGGAATCAGCAAGTAGGCACTCTCACAATATTCATGAGCTCAGCAACATGAAAGTCTGATTCACGTTTTCACAAACTCACAAGTCTATTAGCAATTGATTGGCCACCCTGCTGTAAGCACCCACCTACTGTCAGCATTACACGCCCGCACCAGAAAGAGTTATTTTTGATAGCAATACCCAAAAGTACCCGTGTCACACAACTGGTCACACTACAGTTCTTTTAAAAGGAAAAATATAAAAGCAAGCTTATTGTTCTCTTGTCCATCTTCCTCTCAGCCTATTTTGAATTCTCAGCTCAATCCAATCTACTGGGTAACTTGCCAATAGCCGTTCTATTTTCGGATGGTTTTTCATTGTCCTCGGCAAATGTGAGAAGTCTGACATACCTTCGCTTCATAAAGGAGAGGTCCATGAAAGCACAGCACTCGTTCACCTGGAACACAGTTTGCAAAAAGAGCAGTCTGATTAGTCATATTAGCAAACAACGCTGCACTAAAAGTACTGCTGCAAGAGCCTGCCCAGCCGCAGCCCAGTCCACCCAATACTGAGCAATTCAATGGCAACCAGGACTTCAGTTCAGAAATAAGCTTGAATTCAAAGGTGAAATTCAACTCTGTGTGGAAGACAGGTGTGCAAGAGGGGCTACCTCTGAGCAGCCACACAGGAGCACCTCCACACCAACCATGTGCTTCTAGGCCGGCCAACACAAGGCCACATTGGAAGAGGCTGTGGATACCCCACTCTCTCTGGTTAGGCAGATGCAACATTCAAGTGGCACAGAGTGCTATGTTCTGCCCAGCCTAGGATAGCAGCCATGATAGACTTACCCAGAAACCTTATTCCCCACCTCAGGCCCGACCCAGATTCCACCTCCGTCACCTCGTGGCCTTCCAGTTGAACAGGGCCACGAGACTCTGGCTTTGCATACACTTCAACCCAAGGGCACAAGAAGCAAATTGCTCAGCAGGAACACACCACTCAGGATGCAACAAAGTTGGATTGCTCAAGGCTTGGTTTAGTTATGCATGGCTTAAGAAAAGGAACTTGCTCTCTTAACAATCCAGGGTACTGTCAGATGCTAAAGTTCTGGCCCACCGGTAACCTAATAAGAAGTCCCTTTATCCTGGCTGACACTCAGGACTTAACATTTCTATGGTCAGAGATACATACCAAGTGTCCTGCTCAAAGATATCATGTCTTCTCCCCCCTACCCCCCACCCCAAAAAAGCAGGAAAAAGGGCATGTTGTGTGTGATGGCCCAGAAGAAGAAGAAAAAAGGGAGATGCTGTTCACCTTGTAGCTCACCTTTGAACAGGAAAGGATTGTTTTTACAGTGTTTGCTGTAATACAATCTTTTCTGTGCAATTGTTTAATAAGTGGAAGTCTAGTTTATCTAACACAAGATCCAAGGGGACAGATGTTTCCTCCCAAGTATTTCCTTATAAAGTTTCTAGCTTTGCTTGCCCATTCTTTCTCAGCACCTACAAACAAAGATGTTTTTAAATCCATCTTTAACTGCACTGTCTGTTTCCTTAATAATTTACTGCTGCCCTTTTCCACTCCATACTTCTTTCCTAGCTTCAACATAGTGGCATGATAAAAGGATCTTGGAGATGTCATTGTAAATCCTAATCTGTAGAATTCACATACTCCCCAAGCTGGAAAAAAGAAAAAAGAAAAACAAACACCTTTTTTTAGGACAGGGAAAATCCAAGTTAACAAAAAGTCTGTCCAGAGCAGTCAGAGACATCTGTATGCTGTTTACCAAGGTTAGTTTGACATTTCCAAGCTTTGAAATGTATTTTCAGCAGGAAAACTACCAGTGAAGTTTTGTGCATTTATTACAACTGCTTTCATAAGTGATACTTAAAACTGAAAAGTAGTTACTCAGCATGCAACTCAGCTATTTAAAAGTTACGGTTACATTAGTTCATCATACTCACATTAGGCTTTTGCACTGTTTGTTGATTCTACTGGAAAACATGCCCTGTTTACACACACAAATTGCTCACTTTTGAAAGCTGCAAGTTAGGAACTCTATGTAAATATAGACCAAGAATACTTTGTAACCCAAAATGAATCCTTCCCTTCCCTTCCACCCCCACCCCACCACTATAATGAAATCAAAGCACACTTGGAAAAATTACAGGTACAGTTAAAATATGGGGAATGACTGGCTACACTGTAGTACTGCAGAAAAAGATCCGAGCGTCACCGTGCATTACAAGCCAAGTATCATTCAACAGCATAATAAAGATGCAAAATAAATAAATACAAGCCCTATCCGACTAAGTATGCATTACCAAAAGCATCGCTGCAAGTCACAGGATGCGATTCGCCCCCTGTATTCTACACTTCAGAAGCGTCTCCTCAAGTACTGCATCCAGTTTGGGGTACTACACATTATAAGATGTGCAGACAAATTGGAGAATCAAGAGAGCAATTAATATTATTAGAGGTCTATAAAACTTGACATACAAGGAAGGGCTGGAAGAACTGTGCATTTTTTTTCTTTTTAAATGGGGGCAGGATTCGCTATAGTGTTCAAATAGAAAGTTTTTATAAAAAGAGTGAAGTGATGGTTCCCCTGTCCTGTCCCCAGTGGACAGAGAAGTAACAGGCTTATGTTGCAACAAGGGATTTTTGGGTTAGATGTTAGGAAGAAGTTTCTAACTATGACCATAATTAGGCACAGGAACAAATGACCTAGAAAGGTTGCAGAAGCGCAGTCACTGGAGGGTTTTTAAGTGCAGGAGAAAACAAGCATTCACTGGGGTGGCTGAGAGACAAACAGTATTAAGTTTGACGTGGGGGGGGCGGGAGAGGGCACCAGTTCTCACGCCTACTCAACCCCTCTCCCCCACCCAACAACTTGGACTTCTCACTTGAACCTTTATTTTCCCCACAGATACATAACCCGATTCAACCCCGCCAGGGAAGTATTGCTTTAACCTCAGCCAGGCCAAATCAGATGCCAATTGCTGGTTCCCATAAAAATGTCCCACACAGAAATCTACTAAAAATACCCTAAGTCCAAGTGTAAATGTAAAGGTTACTCAGTCTCTTGTTTAAGCTAAAGTGAGAGAGTAGCATATCATATTTAAGACCTCTCAATACATGTATTTAAGAGCCAAGTTGCAACAAAATGCCCCCCTTTAAAAAAAAAAAAATCTTAAACCATCTATAAAAAGCCATACATACTCCCTCTCACTTTCCCAAAATGTCTCAGCTAGAAGATCATCTCAGAGAAAGTAGATGACGGCTGCATTATGCGAGTCACGGTTAGAGAGAGAGACAACATGAAAGTCATCTTTTAAAAACAAGTTACCATTCCTCCATGTCTTGGATTAAAAATCCAATTCCCTTCTCACTGCTCATGTTCCGTTTATTCTTTGTAGCCACGGATAATCACTTACACGGTTTATTTTCAGAGTCTGAATATTTGAGTTTGGGCCATTACAGGGGATATGAGTTTAAACATAAGCATTTTTTACTGCTCCCTCTCATTTTACATTTTTTCTTCCTCCAAGATTGTGAAAACTCTTATTTTTGGTCTTAGGGCCTTCTAAAAATATGGTTTTATAGAAGTTTTCTTTTCTGACCAAAGTTTTAAAATGCCTTAAATTACAAACCCGCTTCATTTCCCTCTGGAATTTTACTGATGTGTTTTTATACAAAATGTTGCACTCCACCCAATCCAATATTAGTGGAAGGATTGTAATGTAACATTTACCATAATCCTCTTGAAATTCCTGAGGTTTTCATACAATAGCCACACTCTGCGTATCAAACTGTGGGACGCAACATTGATATGCGATTGAACATGGTTTTGAAAGGTTGCTACAAAGTATGTAAAATTACTTGCTTTTTTAACCAGCTCCCTACTTTAACCATCCATAGCAAATGGCTCTTTTTAGAAGCCAGCAACGGTATTACACAAAATGCTGCTCAGAAGCAGACAAGTCTCAGCTAATCTCCTGAGTTTTCATCTATCAGCTACATTTAAATCAGATCTTATATAATAAAACCCTGGATCTTTCAAGACACTGTGTATGTTGTGTCATATCCTAATTGGAATTAAGGCTCCATATGCTTCAAAAAACAGGGGTTGTGATGCCAAGACTCCACTATAGTTACAGCAGTGCTCCAAGTCACCGTTACAATGACCACACTGTATTTTCCAATATCCTTAAGTCAGATTTAATAAAAGGCCTATTGTAAAGCAGGAGTTGAGACCCTAATACGTTTTAAAAGATAATCCTGTTAAGTAAATGCATACTTCCCAACCCAACACGTAAAAAATCCTTGCAGTTCTCCAAAGAGGCAAGTTTGGTCTCCAGCAGATTATTTTGCCGCATCCCAGTGAGAAAACAAAATATAGGCTTATTTTCAGGGGAGTGGAAACCCCCCCCCCTTCCCCCCAATGCTCACAGATTAACTGAGAACTGTGGGGAAGGAAAAAAACCGCACACAGAGAGGATATTAACTGAGCTTTGGCATCTGATCAAGACAAAAAAAGAGGGAGCTGTAGCCATCAGACTGCCAGGGAGGGAGTCCAAACCTGGCTGAACTAAGGGCCTCATTGAAAGCCTCCCAAGCACTGCAAGCTCCTGTAAAATGGAGCATCTGACCGCTTCCCTGGGCAGATGCTCCCCTAGCCGGGCGCTGGCCAGGCAGAGTGGGTCCAGGGGCCCTGCTACAGCACCTGGCCGTAGGTAGGTACAGGACACACACCCGCTGCAAGCGAGATGGAACCGCCTCGCCTTCAGCAGCCGCTGCTTCATCTTCCCTGAGAAATGCATTTCCTTTGTTTCTGGTGTAGTGCATGCCCTCCCCACCCAGCACAGAGGTTGCGGATAGACCACGGCCAGGGGGGAACGCGGGGCTGTGCCCAAGGCACTGGCACCGCGCACCAGGGGCTTGGTGTGGGGCGACGGCAGGGGAATCGGGCCCGCGCCGGTCTCCTCCCAGCCGCCCCGGCCCCGACACGGCCCGGCAGCTCCCAGCATCCTGCTGCCCAGCCTATACGCAGGCCCACCAAACACCCCCAGGCCCAACCTGCTCCTCACCAAATACAGCCTCCCAACCACCC